GCGGGACTGGCCTAGGGGATTTTATAGGGGTTTTAATTACTTTTAAATTTGACATTCTCAAATATTTCATTTTAATTAAATTTTAACTAGGTGTAATATGTTAGCTTTTTATCATTTGTCAGCCGCCCTGAGTCCGAAAGGAGAAGGGCGGGATATAAATACAATTAATAATAATAATAATAATAATAATAATAATAATGTATTTTAATTCACTCATAACCAGCCAAACAAAGCAAAATGGGGCAGACGAGCACTTCGACTATCACAGCCTTTGGGAGTGTTTATTTTTACATCACAACATGCAATTTTTATTTACATTTTTACAGAAGTGACATTTGTTCTGTCCAAATGAATACAATGGACTCCTTCATAATATGAAGAATATATTAGTCATTTTGCTTCCTAAGGAAGTAATTGATTTCAGTTTTCAATTTCCTATTGAACTGTCCTAGCAACTGCTAACAATCAGTATGTACAGGAGAAAGGCAGGGGGGAGATCAAGTTTGGACAGTATTAGAGATTTGGCATTTGAAGTAAATCTCCACAAATGTTTGGCAGTTCTAACACAAACATCCTGTCAACTCTACAAATGAGCATGGCTGCAGCCATTTTTCTTCTCATTCTAGGTTGCCACATAGAACGGAGCGAGGGGAGTTGCTCAGGTGTTTCGTTAGTCAAAATAATCTTTTGTCCCATGGGAACCAAGGTCATCGGCTGCTCCCGAGACTAGGGACTGGGCATTGCATAAAAAGCCCATCAAATAATCATATTGGGGAACGTAGATGCTTGCATACTTTTATGGGTGGGACATTTAACTTTGTATTGGGAAATTGTTACTTGTGTATTCAGACTTGGTTTCACTCTTGACCTTGCCGATACTTTGTAACTAATAAACATGTTTTTTGAGGAATTTGCAAGCCTCGGAGTTCTGCTTTATTCGTCTCTGTCTGTCGGAACCATGACATTAAACCAAGTCTCATAAAACTTCCTTTTCTCGGGATGCTGGGCCCTGACCGCCTACCCACTTACTTTTGGGAGAGCAGTAAAGACTTAGCGAAGATTTGAAATGGAGGAGAAGAGTGAAACCACTACTAGCCGCAACGGAACTCTGACTTTTGGAGTGCAAGCTGGCACTCCAGCCACTGAGTAGTCATCACTGGTAGGGGCTCGGCCAAAGGCCAGGTTAATCCAACCTGGGAAACTGGTACCGCAGGAAGGAGCTACAATCCTGGTGGACCTCTATGAAGCTGAGGCTGTCCCTCAGCGCAGGAGCACTCCTGTAACCACTGGAGAGGAGCTCCTATTGTTGCCGTCCCGGGGTTCTTCATCTGCGGATTGAAAGAAAAGAAAGGTGTCGATGGGATGGGACAACTATGGAGAGTGGAGGTTCCAGTCCGCAGTCCACAGCCCCTCGCTCAAACAGCTGAAGGAGAAATTCGGCAGGCTGGAGGTAAAGGATACGATTCCCGTTGCCCAGGAGGTGGGTGCCGTGGGGGGGGGAATGCTAACAGCTACCCATCTCTTCCCCCCCCTCACCGGAGTCCCAGCCCGACCACTGGAGCCCGTGCTGCTTCGCCCATTCCCCAGCCAGCTGTGATGTCAAACCCTGTATCCCAGCCAAGCCCGCTGCCACGGCCTCAGGCTGCCAGTCCAAGAGCCCAGCCAAGGAAAGTCTGGAGATTGGTTCGGCCACGTCCCCAGGAACAACAAGCAGTCCAGCAGCAGGTGCAGGCGGCTCCACCAAGGTTTGAGCTGCCTCCCATCAAGCCCACCTTTGATGGGGACCCTGAGAAGCTAACCTTCTTCCCAAATCAGGTGTGGGCTCATTTAGATCGCTACGCTTATGCCTACCTGGATGGTGCTATGATGGTGAATGCTGTGGCGGCAAATTTAGAGGTAGAAGTGGCAGACTGGGTGACCAACCTCCACAATGAAGGGGCTGCTGAATTGCACAATGGAGCCAATGAGGGGACATTTTGAAGATGAATCCCAGGCCCTGGTGGCTGAGGAGATCCACCATCTGAAGCAAAGAGGCCGCCCCAAGGAATATGTTCATGAATTCAGAAGAGTTGCTGGTTGGCTGGGGCAGTGGCCAGAACGGTCACTGATCAACTACTTCAAGCAGGGGCTAGACCGCGACTTACTTCAAGCCTGCATCATTCAGGGTTATCCTAACCTATTGCGTGAGTGGTACAGCATGGCGGTGATGCTAGACATCGAATTGGATCGTAAAATCTCTTTACCAATCAATCAGCCTTAACATCTGTGCTTTTCACCCAAGTGGCCTCTGACAATGGATATCCCCTCCATTGCACTAGATACTGTAATTTCCCCTTGTATAATCTAGAACAGGGCTTTTCAACCGGTGGTACGCGTACCACTTGTGGTACATTAATGAGTGGCAGGTGGTACGCAGCCCTGCCTAGCCAAGTGTAGTGGGGGAGGGAAAGAGCCAGCACAGGCAAGGACTTGCAGTGAGAGAGTCCTCTGGAGCTGCAAAGGCCCCAGGCTCACTTCTGGCTCACCCTCCCCCATGAGAAAGGAGGAGTGGGGGTGGAGACAGGAGAGCCTATAAAAGGAGGCAGTTTGGGCAGGAGAAGGAGAGAGAGAAAAAGCAGCAGCCTTGGGAGGAGGCAGAGTCAGCTGCACCGAAGGGGAAGAAGGTGGGGGAGGGTGGGGGAGAGGAGAGGAGAGGAGATCAAGCAGGCTGGCCATGAGCCGATCTACAACTGCTGTGGCAGCCACCTGTGCTGGCAGCAGCAAACAGGCAAGAAATGCAGCGGGGGAGGGGTCGCCCTCCAAAAGGAATGAAAAAAGGCAGCAATGGCTGGAGGTGAGGCACGGAGGAGGGAAGGAAATGGAGAATGGAAGGATTCTTATGTGCTTTTGTGACTTTGAAGTTCTGGGATTTGTGCAATGAGGGCTTTGTGTTCTTAAGGAGTGTTTGGCAAATTTCTATTTGGCTGATGGCTGATGTCTCGTGTTAGCTTCTATTGCTCTGCTGTTGTTAGCTGTAAATTTTGCTGCAAGGGATT